TGCGTGTATGTATGTATATATTATGTGTGTATATTATATGTATGTGTATATGTATATGTATGATGTATATATATGTATGTTTAGATGTATGTATGTATGTGTGTGTGTGTGGTATATATATATATATATATATATATAATATATATATATACTATATAATATTATATATATATATATACATAATACATATACATATACATATACATATACTATACAATACATGTACATATACATATACAGTACATATACATATATATATAATATATATATATATATATAATATATATATATATATATATATATATATATATATATATATATATATATATTGTATATATATATATATACATATATAATTATATAATATATTGTATAATATACATATATACATTATAACATATATACATATATACATATATACATATATACATATATATATATATATATATATATATATATATATATATATATTATATATATATATAAATATATATATATAATATAATAAGTATATGTCATTATATATTTTTCTATTACTGCTAGTATGCACCATACATTTTACTTTACAGTTGGAAATTGTGAACTTTGAATTAAGTAGATATTGAAGTTGAATTAGTTTATTTCTTGTTGCTTGCGATGCTAAAGGGAACTGTCCCATGGTCAGGGGGGGAGGTGGAAATGAGGGAGTTACGTTGAGTTAGGTAGTCCATTGTATAGGGATGAGAATGAGGAAACTACGAAACGACCATTAGAGCCCAGCTTTATTTCTTGGGTGGCGCATGCAAGAACCGCCAACACGTACAGAAGCTAATGTGCGCCTGGTACACCTGTGTGGACTTTTGCTTGTTCCAGCCTTGTATAGGGCATTTGATAATGACATTGCTCATAGATATGTGTTCTTCAATATTCAGAGAACAGTTTTATACTATTATCAGAAAAAAAAATGATGTCAGAATGATTTATTACAAAATATTTTGTGAAATTAAAAGAGAAATTGTGTGTACATTTACATTTGAAAGACTCTTTTGTAATATGCTGAAGTTGATGAAAGGCGATGTATGGATACAGAGTGCAAAGCAGTAATGTTTGAAAATAGCCGTATAAATGATTATTAAAATTTTTTGGTTTGACTTTGCCTAACTGTTAGTACTTTCCAGAGTTGGTAAATTTGATTTGATTTGAAATTGGTCGTTTCTGCTGTAAACAACATTTAAATACGAAGGGCACCTAAAAGTTGGATCTTTGAACTTTGGAGATATGAGTGAGATACGGATTATTTCATGTTGAAGATGATAGTACACAGTAATACCCGCTCTGAAATAAGAGCCGTGGAATTTTGAACTTGTTTTTATGCGCAGTCTTCAGTAAGTCTCTTAATTCCATGTACTTCATACGCTTCTAAATTCCCCAAAATTGAACTGCTATGTTGTATTTATGCTAGGACGTTATAACTAGAATAATTTTGTACTGAAATTGCCATCCACTGTTCTCCATTTCTTCAAAATCAAATTTTCAAAAAGAAGAAGAAGAAGAAAAAGAAGAAGTTTTATTAGGTTTGGATTAGTTGTTTCTATGATTTAATGCATTTAATAATATATTAATATATCCAAAAAGAAGACAAAAAACAAAACAATGAGACATACAATTACAGAATTTTATCCCTATTAATAACTCGGATGACTTGATAATCATTGCGTTGCAAAATACTTGGCTTTCTTTTTTTATATATTTAGTGAAAAATAACAGATAATGAACTCTGGCAAGCGTCCAATCTCGGGGTTTTTTCTTCAATTTCTTTTTACACAAGCTTCAGTGCATCCCAGCAGTCATAATTTTTGTGCATTTCAATTGTGGTTTGTTGCTTTCGCTAGAGCATCGGAGTGCTAAGGCAGTGTAAATAGCTGATTTTTGAATTTTGGAATAAACCTAACAATATACATTATGTAATACTGAAAAATTACCAAAAAGTGGTCAATATGTCAATCACTCCCCCCCCCAAAAAAAAAAAAAAAAAAAAAAAAAAGGAAAGGAAATAAAAAATGCTATTTACATGGCCTTAGTATAGGATAGATTTCCATAAGTATTTTGAGGGAGTTAATCAGGGAAAAAAGATGACCTCTGGGATGTACCAAAGACAGTAATAAAATGATTGAATTTTTTCGACTTTTGGGGGCGGGGGGTGAGGTTGAAATGATGTATGAGATGAAGCAGAATTATATACTCTATATTATGCAAAAACAATCTATGAGTTATCTTCAGCCGATATTTTTTTTATGATGAAATGACTAGAGCAAGGTAGTCCCTTAATATTATTTCATTTATGCTATGCTCCTGTCTATGCAGTCACCCTTATGGCATCCGGTCCTTGAAAACACTCTCCCCATCCATAAAGTAGTTGTAATTGTTGAGAGAAAACAGTATATTTCCTATCAAATGGGCTGCACTACCCAAAAGACATGTCATGCCATCTTCATGCATAGCTGTTCTTAGAGAGGTTTTGAGAGATAGCAGTTCAGATACCCGGGAAAGACCTTCAAGATGACTAACAAGTTATCGGAGGAATTAAAGAATCGGTCATCATGGAGATGTCCATTGAGTGTCCTGTTTCTTCCGCCTTCCCAGTACCTGTCCTTAAGGTCAATACTGTTTTCTGTTCACCATAATGTAAGATCGTATCGCTGAGTGATTTAGACGCAGGTGTCATGACTCCTTGCTCCCCGTTCGTCATGCAAATTTTGTTGTCTGGTAATGGGGTTGAAAATACCTATATCAGTGAGTGAGCATAATTTTGTAGCTGTTAATAACCAAGGATAAGATGATGTCAGGTTCAGAATTTACTGTAGCTATTGAAACTGATGTGATAATTTTAGAATTGATGAGTAATGCAAGTAATGTGATTATGTAATTTTAATGCAAAATATAGTGGGAGTTCTTTTTTATTTTATTTTTGTTATTTTGATTTACTCGTGTCTGGAAATTATAAACTTTTGTGTTTAGTTTTAAAGCTGCAAGGCAAATGATTGAAGGGCTAAATTCTATTTGTGTGATGAGACCTTTAAAACTTAGATAAATTTTGGGAATTTCTTCATATTTTCTTTTGTATTGGTTTTCACTTGAAATATATTTAAGTTTTTGTTTTAATAGGAATGTTTATTTGCAATATATATTTGTTTCTTATATATATTTTTTATAAAGAATTAGGATTAGTTTTTTTAACAGAAAATCGTGAATCTTATTTTAAGGTAGAAATATTGATAGAAGTATAATTAAGATAACAAAAAAAAGAGAAAAGAAAAAAGAAAAAGAAGATGCTCTATTGTTATTCTTTTAATAATCTTTGAGTTGAGTCATGTTGCACTTAGTAGTCTTGCTTCTACATGACTTGCCAGTCGGGTGAATTTTATTCATTTTGTTGATTTTGTAGAGACTACGTTAGGAAAGTTTAGACCAGTGGAGGCTCTTAGAGTTCTCTCTAATGGAAAGAACCAATTTATTTTTTATCTGTTATTTTGTGTCTTATTTGGAAGTGCCGTCCTTTCTATAATCCCAAGTGGTTTGAGACATCAAAACAATCTTTAGTTGATAACCTTGATTTGAAATTCATAAAGATTTACATGTAACTTGTTCTCACCCGCCACTCATGTGCAGAACACTTTCATGACACTATTGTTTTGGGTTATCATCCTATGCTCCTAGTTATTATTTTTCATGATTTTTACATAGTGCTTCACATCCTAAAGTCGGCATTATACTTTACCTTTTAGTACTGATCCTAACATCAGATACAAATCTCAATTGTTGAATCTGGCTTTACTTTTTGTAAATCTATTTTTTTGATTTATGTCACATTTCTACAATATGAAAGACCTCTTTAAAGGATAAGTATGACTCCACGGGTATAGTGTAAACCAGACTTGCTGCATCATCCCACGACTTAGTAAGCATGTGCCTTTTCAAACACGTCCGTAACATCCAACTAGATATGGGACCAGCATAGTAACTTATGTCAGCTGGCTGATGGCACAGCTTCACTCAACATGTTTACTGTAAATGCAGCCAGAGGTCGTGATATTTTATTTATTTTGATGTTTTACAAATATAAGATGTGTTTTTTAAAGAATTTGTCTTTTAGCTCATATGTCTGTTGTATGATTTTTAATTTTTCGCTTAAAAAGTAGTGGTGGTTTTCCTGTTCATATGATCAGGTGAAATTCTCCTTGTCTTTAGATTAGGGGTGACTAAGCCTTTTATCTTAAAAAAAAAGAAGAAGAAGAAAAAAAAAATCCCTTTTATTATTTCCCCATATCAAATTTTAAGCTTGTTGACTGTATAGTTATTTTACTTACAATAAGTTGATCTTTGCCACTGACACTGCTTTCTCTTTACAGAGCAAAATACCATAAGTTAAAGTATGGAACAGATTTAGTACAGGGGGACATGAATCCCCCAGTGGAAGAGGGAGGAGAAGAAGTACGGGTAGACACTGACGCTATCCTCTCTACCAACACTAATGTATCCTGGAAGCAATCCAGACAACTTCTTAGACAGTAAGTGTTCAGCTGTGGGCTGATTCATGATAACGTGAATTTCAGGGCTCTCGGAAGTAGCTGGTCGTTGGCGGCAAATTGCCGTCTGTGGCTGGTTTTGCCACCGGCTACTTTTCATGTGGTCCAAAAGATAGATTTTTCACTTTCTGAATCCAGTTGTAAACATGAATTTTATGTGCTGTGCAGGGCAGGCTGCTTTTCCATAACACTATTTCTACCATTTTCCAAACATCAGATGAGAAAGAAAATTGACTTAACCCACTAGTGACGGGTGTCCTATATATGAGACACCCGTAAAAATAAAATTGCCAGGCATCCCGCCAGTGTGACGCTGTATCGGGGCTCACGCTCCGAAGCAGCAGTGGGCTGAGCCAGGCGGGCGGACAGACTCCGGGGAATCTCCGCCCGCCGATTTTGTAGCCGCCTGGAATATTTTATTTTTGGCTTCAAAATACCCCGGCATGAATGGGTTAAGGTGGCTTCAGCACCCTTGCACCCTGCTATTCAAGCTCCTGCATCCTGCTATACTCCAAAACTTTGAGAGCCCTGAATTTTATATTAGATACAGTAAGGAGACCCATAAAAGATTTAGTTTCAGGGAAAAATGTTTGTTGTTGTTTTATTCATAATGTTGCTCTACAAATATTTATGATAAAAAGTTGTCTTATATGCATGCAGCATAAAGTTTATAAAGTTACATTGATAGATAATATGAATTGCAAACCTTGAAATGTTGGTGATAGAAATGGGTTATTTGCTGGTAATTATTACTAATGCTATCTTTCTTTCTAAGGTATCTACAAGAAATTGGGTACACAGACACAATCATAGACTTACGAAGCAATAGAGTAAGGTTAGTATGTGCATTTATTTTAAATGGTCTTTGCATATAAGGATTTTCAGTTTATTTTTTTCCTTGAGAGACTGATTAACACACATTACAGCTTAAAATGTTTCTTCTTGGACTTGTGTTAGGGATTGATAAGGTGCTAGACTTAAGAATTTCATAAATGTGCTGTCTTGGATATTTATATTTATATGCTCCAGATTAATCATTTGCGTACAGCTCTTACACAACCTCAATTTGGTAACCTTGCCGTCCTTGTTGCTTTCTGTAAGCTCATTGGATGTAGGATGTGTCCATGGGTATCTCCTTTTTTAGCCAATTTGAGCATCTCTCAAGGTAATTTATAAAACAATGCAGTACTAATCACATTAATTTACGCTTTGTTATCTTTATTTCTATTTTTATTTATTTATTTATTTTTTATAAGATAGAATTTTCTGTATTACAATCTGCATTGCCGGTCACGGGGGGCAGGAAATAATGTCCCCCCCCAGCAGTAGGGATTCTTTCAGTCCTGGGTCCTGGATATACATTCCTAAAGTTCTTCAGAAATCCTAGGGTTAAAGAGGTTTATGATGTTTTGATAGTGATGCCTGTATTGGAACCTGCCAAAGGTTATATGTATGTGTGAAAATGACAATACAGGATTATAAAAGTAGTATGTTATTTCATTTGTCTGAATGGATTAGTGATGTGGGTACAGTGAATAAGTTTTTCTTCTCTGACCTCCATTGCAGATCATTATTAGGAATCAGCAGTGGAGAAAATGAGGAGAACCACAACAACACCCCTGCCATGAATGGGTCAGATACAACCAAGAGGCAACCTGACTCCAACCGATGGAATGTTCCTAAGAAGGTGGTTATTTAAATGATTAGTTGATTGATAGATTTACCGGTTTTCCATTAGTAGTGATTTTTAATGAACGGTTCGTGTTGTATTTGTTGTTGTGTATAGTCATATTTTTTGCTCAAGGAATATTGATTGGTATATTTGTCTTGCAGCCACAGTCAACACTTGAGGCTCAGATTCGTGACACAGAAAAAGCTGTAATGGAGAGCTTTGATTTCTTAAAACAGGAAGGTGAGAGTCAAAATGATGTACTGGCAGAGATTATGTATTGGACCTTCTCTGATCCACTAGGTTACACTTTACATTGTCCTGTTGAAAATATCCTGCATGGTGTTCAGGCTGTTATTTGTATCATTCTGCCATTTGCTTTTATAGATATCACTTTTGTTGACAGTTTTTTATAACAATTTGTATAAATTTGTCACTATCATCTATTTGAAATCTTTTTAATGCTGTTTATCATATATTACCTTTTAGCTTTTCCTCTTTCATTTTGCCCTGCAACCCCAAAGAAATGCAGGCTGTCTGTCCCCCCTCCCCCCCACACCAGCAAAAAAAAGAAAAGATAAAGGCAAGCTTTAGTTGCTGGCATTTTATGTTCAGCATTGCATACTTGAAATATTTTATTCTTATATATTAAATAGTTAGAACATTAGTGAAGTGCAGCATTGAAATAGTTATTGCAGTTACCCCTTGCATATGAATGAAAAGGGAATGAATTGCTATATAATTGTAGTTAAGACTTAAAACAGCAGAGTCTGTTTTTGTAAGAGTAAACAATGAATTTTTATGTATTTATAAATATCTGTCTGTATTGTGCTAGTCAAAACACAATGATAAGACTGTTATAAGTAAGAGTATGGTGTGGGGAGGTTTATGTATGTACATGGTTTTATTTTATTATATTTTATTTTATTTTATTGCTCAACATGGAAAAGTTAAAAAGGGTAATTGCATACTCATGGGGTAAAACCAACCCCCTTTTTATCTTCTATCTATATTTATTTTTACCCTCTTTATTCCTTTTGGATATAGTTATGTATTTTTTTATATTATTATCCTGTTTGTTTGATAGATTTGGTAAAAAAATGAGAATGAAAATGAAGAGATGAATAAGGTTTAAAGTATTAGCAAACAATTTAACTCTCTCCTGAATTAGATATGGAGATGGAGGAAGATGATGATGAGGAAGAAGTTGAGGAGGAGGATGACGTTCAAAGACTCAAGAGCCCAAAAGTGGCCAAAGTGGTAAGTTCTGCCCAAGAAACTTCATTTTTTTGCCATTGCATTATTTTTATACTTTCCTGCTTTCAGATTTATATTCTATAGATTTGCACCTGCTTCTTGTTGAAATCCCAAAGTTCATTTATTGTCAGTTGATTGCAGTTTCAGATATGTGTATGAGGTGATATTTTACAAATGTATTATTGTACATATTTTACAAGAGTATCAATTATTTAAGCTACTTTTTACACAGATTATTACTATTTTCCTTACATCCACTCATATTACTGGTTAATAAAGCTACCTGAATGACTGTGATATGGAATGCTGAGAAGGTTCTTAGGTACCAGGTATAAAAGGTTGCAATAATTTTGTCAATCAAGTTTTCTCAACAGACAGTGGTATCATTGCTGCTTTTGTATGAGTTAGCTGGACGTATGGAAAAGGATACAGGTTATGAGAAAAAAGGCTTCAGTTTCCCAGGTTCCTATGGGCCCCAAACCTTTAATGTATTTCAAAAGAACTTTAGCTTGGATTTATATCTGATTCACGTTTGTTGAACATTTAACATGGTAATGATAAACTTCCAATCTGACTTGAAATAGATTTTAAGGTGCTAAGATAGTGAAATGTTTTTCTTTATAGATAGGTAGGTATTGAGACATCAGTGGAAGGGGCATATGATAATTTTCTGTCTCAGTAATCCTTTGAATTCTCAGGAGGAGGAGGGAAAATGTAACTACATTGTCAAAGATTTCAGAAAAGATTTTGAGTATTGTATTGGTGGATAATGAAATAGTTTTTACTACTTTTATGCTCAGAAGCTCATTGCTCCCCTTTTTCAGACACTTGATGATGACGTGGATGGAGAGAACTGAGCTAGACAATGAATTTCGCTTCATCCCAGAAATGGAAGACACCTCACGTAAGTTTCACCAAATCCTTTGATGTCATGCATACATTGTTTGTGATAGTAGTGTGGGTTTGTCAAGTCTTACAGATGTGTAGACTAGCATATTGTGGTGTTTGATAAACTTTTTTTTTTTATTGAAAAGGTTGACTTTCATGCTCACTGTCAATGACTATCAAAATGGTATTGAGTCATAGTCCAGGGAACTCATGAGGGAGAATTGGTTAAAAAAGAAAAAATATTTGCTTATATAAAGTAGACTAAAGAAAGAGATGTTTTACATAACTGATTATGCTTATTACTAATTATTGCAAGGCATTATGTGATTATTCTGATTCTCTAATTCCCATTTTCAAGCAGACTGAGAGGCAAAATACTAGTTTATGATAACATGGTAATTGCCTTTGAACAGGAACCCATGAAAAGCCGGCTGTGAACAAATATGAAAGCTGTATGTCATGCAGGGTACATGAGGATAAGCCATGTTTATACATAGTTATACTACATAGTTTCTTTTATTTGTCTGGGTATTTTTTGTTTGAAATGGAGTCAAACACCGGAGTGAGAATCTTAGTGGTATGTAATATATGAATCACTGTAGGTATGTTCTAGAAGTATGCATGGGAGTGTGGAAATTAGTTGATACAAGGAATTGATACAAGGTTGTTTTTGTCGACAGATATCAAAATGCCTATTAACTGGCTTGTTTAAGGATTTAAAAATTATATCGGTTATGAAACAAAAGCAGTTATCAGTCAATGCTAGCTTGTGCACAACAAAATGCGAAGGAGTTGTGATTTAGTATTAGGCACAGAAAAATCCATACATTAACTCCTTCGATCTGGTTGATGTGACCATCGCATCATGACTTTTTGGCAGTGAGCAAGGTTGATATGAACTTACGGTCCTGAATATTTCAGCTGAAGGTTGGGGTACTGGGAATGATTTACCATGGATGCAAATAGCTCTTGCAGGACGATTAGACTCTTACGGCATTTAGGAATGGCCTTTTGCATTATTTCCATCGATGACTGAGTATGGAATGTACTGTCTATGAGCCATGACTGAAAGAGTGCCGGCTCCAGGGAGGATGATGTTTCCATGCTCAGAACTGTTTTCCTGCCCACTGTGACTAGCTGCGCTGGTAGTAATAATGAAAATTGAATATTTTGAATAAAAAAGCCACAAAAAAAGAAAATGTGTGTATTGTTATTATTATTGGACTAATTATGGGCTAGATAGAGATATGTAGAGTCTGTGCAAGACTTATGGGCACGTAATGGAAAAACTTGATCCGAGGGGTGAATGACGTGAGCATGCCGTCAGTTGGGCAAATTGTCCTGGTTGACGTGACTTGCCAACCTGAACGAAGGCCAGGGTGATGGAAAAGACTCACCACAAGTTCTCAAACCTCTTGGAATGTGATTCATTTGGCGCTTGGAAGGGTGCTTTAGTATTATTCCCATCGATAAATAAATGTGGAATGTAACGTGTGTAAGCAGTGACTGGAAGAGTGCCGACTCCAAGGAGAACGCCGTTTCCATGCTCCGCACCGTATTCCTGGCTGCTGTGACTGGCGGCGCAGGTTGTATTATGTAAAATTGAAAATTGCGAAAAAATGAGATATATGGCTCAAATAACTAAATGTTCCACATATTTTTTTAGTTATTTACTACATAGAGATGATATGGAATCAGTGCAAGGAAAATAAGCTATTACTATCTGGCTAAAGCAAATCAAAAGACAAATATGGACATTGGAAAATGGCAATAAAGCTAAAAAAATTTACTCAAAATAATTTTGTAAAGGTGAGGCACAGAGTCTTGTCACTGCTCATGGGTGTTCACGTGCGCCCAGCCTATGCACTGCATGCCAGGTATGTTGGCCATTTGTGTAACCCATTGCCTGGGTTTTTTGTCAGCGTGATTTCCGTGACGCGACCGGATCAGAAGGGTTAACATCTGGATAAACCAAATCAAATAACTAAGATGAACATTAGAAAGTGGCAAAAAAGCTAAAAATACTCTTGCGGAAAAAGAAAAATAACTAGCAAAGCAGAGGCATAGTCTAGTCACCATACATGACTGTTAGTGTGCACTTGGCCAACATGCTCCACACCCATCAGAGTGACCTCTCACGTAAGCATAATGGCCATAGTTGTGGCTGTATGATGGCAGTGAAGCACCTGGGTCCAGTGGGTTACAATATATTTGAAAATCAGAGACCAGTGATCCCCTCTTTGATATGCATTACTTAGTATATATATAATGATTTACCCATGAAAAGCATGTCATAATGTGGCAACTGAAACCATGAGGAGAAGACCAAGAAAGTAGTTTGATATTTGAAGTTAACCGGTTTGATAGGGTGCATTATTATCAGAAAGGGTTGTCAGGGCAGATTGTCATACAAAAAGAAATGACATACAGCTCATGTACTTGTTCATAGCCAAACCCAAGTTCATGTGTTATTTAATTGGCTACTCCCAAGAATGTATTGAGATTCATGAACTGGAATTAGAGATTTAGGAAGAAACAATGAGGCTTTTATGCAAATTGAAGTCTGGCAGGTCTAATGATGTAATGGCTTGTTCTCTCTAACTATTAATGGTCTTGATAAGGGCTAATAATTGAGTGTGGAAGGAATACTTAATCCTCACTCACAAACAGCATGATGCTGAGGACTTAGGAGTTTCGATATATAGCAGTAGTGGCTGTGTTTCTTGAGATACTGAGTATACCTTTAAGTTAATAGTCCATGTAAGTGAATACTACTCATGATGCATTCTCTCTCATTTTGGGAATTGATTTGAAAATTTAGTTTAATACTGAATCTGTTAAAGGACCATTACAGTTGCATATTGGGATGATTAAAAGGATTCATGTTAGACAAAGTGATCAGGCCACAAATCGCAAGAGTTTTATATTAATATCTTTTCACTCTTCAAAATTGTTTACTGGCAAGGAGAATCAGAGATATATATATCTATATTATATATATATATCTAATTATATATGATATACACTTGACACGTACATACACGTACACACGTACATTACACGTACATTACCGTCACATTCATTCATTCATTTCATTCATTCATTCATTCATTCATTCATTCATTCATTCATTCATTCATTCATTCATTCATTCATTATTTCTTCATTTCTATCCATCTATCCATATAATACTGTTACATAACTCATAATACATATATATTACATATATTATAACTACATATATACATACATATATACTACATATATACATACTTATACATACATATATACATAACAATATATACATATATTACATATAATATATACATCATATATACAGTACATGAATTACATGAACATATATCATACATATATACATGCATATTACATATCATTACAACATACATACATACATACATACATACATACATACATACCATACATACTACATACATACATACATACATTACATAATACTCATATATTATACATACAGACATACCTACCAATACTATACATATATACATTATATACATATATAATATATATATATATATATTATTATATAATTATATAATATATATATACATTATTAGCATACATTTTACATACATATATACTATTACTTATAGATACATATATAGATACATATTAGACTACATATATAGAAATATATACATAGATACATACATATATACATACATATACACATTACATATACACATACATATACACATACATATACCACATATTACACATACATATACACATACATATACACATACATATATACATACTTATATACATACTTATATACTACTTGTATACATACTTATTATCATACTATAATATAACATACATACATACATACATACATACACATTGTGTGTGTGTGTGTTGTGTGTGTGTGTGTGTGTGTGTGTGTGTGGTGTGTGTGTGTGTGTTGTGGGTGTGTGTGTGTGTGTGTGTGTTGGTGTGTGTGTATAATATATATATATTATATATATATATATAGTATACATATATATATGTGTATGTGTAGTATATATATGTATATATATGTGTATGTGTTATAATATATGTATCATATATGTGTATGTGTATATATTGTGTATATGTGTATGTGTATATATGTGTTATATATATGTGTATATATATGTGTATATATATGTATATAATGTATATATATTATATATATATGTATATATGTGTGTTTATGTATATGTATGTTTATGTATATGTATATATATTATGTATTATGTACATGTATATATATTATGTATATGTATATGTATATATATTATGTATATGTATATTATATTATGTACATGTATATATATATGTATGTAATATGTGCATGTGTCTATATATATGTATATATCATGTGTATTTATATATATATGTATATATATGTGTATGTGTATATATATGTGAAATATATATGTTTGTATATATATATGTGTATATATGTGTATATATATGTGTATATATATGTCATATATATTTTATATTATGTATATATTATATATATATATATGTGTATATATGTGTGATATGTATTATGTATGTGTATATGTATATGTATATATATTATGTTATGTATATGTATTATATATTATGTATATGTATATTATATGTATATGTTTCTATATTATATATATTGTATATGTATATATATTGTATATATGTATTATATAATGTATATATTATATAATATAACATATATATTATTGTATATATATATATATTATATATATATATATATTTATATATATATATATGCATATATAATATACATATATACATGTATATAATATATACATAATACATGTATATATATGTACATATATACATATATATAATATATACATATATACATGTATATATATATATCATATATATATATACATATATATATATGTATACATATATATAATAAATACAATATATATATATACATATACATATATGTATATATATATGTATATGTATATATGTAATGAATATATGTATATG